TCTCCTTTTCTTTCTTCCTGTTTGAACTATATGAACTATGGAGCTGAATAACTTGTGGCCCGCCAATTTGAACAGACATGTTATCAACCAAGGTTGGTGACCCATGAGAAGTTTAATGAACCTTTTAATCAATTTCCACCCCTCCTTATCTGAATACCTGCTGCAGCAGGAAAAAAATGTAATAAGAAGAATAAGGTATTGGAGAGCAGATAGACATGAGCTATAACAAAGCATGTTTTGCCCAGAGGGTTCCTCACCAAGAGTGCTACAAAAGCCAGCCCCCTCCAAACAATTTTGAATCCACATGGAAACACTTGTAATAAGCATTAATTCATGTGTAATTGAAAGAATAATATATTTACTACAATGATGGAAATTGGGCTTTTTAAAAGGCTGATGAAAGGCTTTCACCCTGATCTGAAGAACTTCTAATAGAGAAGCCGCAAAGGAACACGGGATATTTAACTCACAGGCTAACACATTGTGTCCTATGACTTTACAGATATAAACACTAATTAAATTGACAGCCAATGTTGTATACTTAGAATGTTGGACTAAGAGGCTGACTACATGGGTGTTTATGCCTGATGTTTGGTCTGCTGCAGGAACTGGCTGCTGAGCTCTTAAAGGCAGCAATCAGATGATGTCTTTGGTGGAGTGAACCAGTCTGCCCCCAGAGCAGTCCAATCTGAACCTTTGTGAGCCCCTGTGTAGATTTTCTACTTTTGGGGTGTGGGTAGGATTGCTCTGGTTTGGATTAGTTCCAGCACATGTGATCACTGGACCCAATCCAAAATAAACTTTCTGGTTTTGTGAAGTGGCTTAATAACTTCAGGATATTGGGAAATTAATGACTTCCTCTGCTCCTCAGCAGAAGAACAGAAGAAGTGGAATTTTTTCTGTGTAATGAACTATTGCTGATATGTTCCACAACCAAAATATTTTCTTTGCCGTGACTTTTGGCTTGATGCTGTGATGAGACAGCAGCAGGAGGACGGAGCTCTGTCCCTGGGCTGAATTCTGACCTGTTTGGTAAAATGGGGGAGAAGCCTGTTGATCATGGGGGGATGGCGGTTACCCCCATTTTGATCCAGGAAACTCCACAATCAACCAGCAAGCAGAAACAAGCAGCTGAATAGCTCGCTTGCAAGTTGTCGGCAACCGGCAATAGAGAAGCGATAAATCAGTTAATTAATATCGTTGTTTCCACTGGATGATAATTTTTTTAATAACTATACTGCTTTATGACTATCCCTGGATGAGACAATCCCCATAACAGAAATAGTGTTTCTTATCCTCACCACTTATAGAGCAGCGGTGAATCTGGAGAGAGGGAAGAGATGCAAAGAAAATAAATCGGACACTATTTAGACATTTAATTATACTTCAAGGAAGGAAATTTGGTATTACTTTGGTGTTAGAAACCTAATAAATCCTTCTCTTAAAATCATTATTAGCTAAACAACTCTGGGCATTAAACTTGTTATGGCTATCTAAGCATTGGTGAAAAGCCCAGAACAATGACCTTGAACACTCTAAGATGGCCTTAAGCTGGGAATCTCTTTTGACTCTCTCTTTTTTTTCTGAGAACTGACTGAAGCATTGACAAATTAACCCTGGAAAGTCTAACAAAGACTATTCATCTTGGAATATATATCTGGCTAATGATATGATACAATACGATAAACCTTTATTGGCATTAGGCAGTGACTCAGGGGAAATAGACAAAATCAGCATTAGTGAGGCAATACAAAACCATGAGAAAAATACATATTATCCGGAGAATGGGGTAAGGAGAATTCAACATTATAAGGCAACAGTAAGTCTCAAAATTTCAGTTAAGTAGTTTGCCACTGCCTCAGTGAGGGGAGCACAGCGATCACTCAAGAAGATAGGGAGAAGATGATCCGAAAATGGAATCAGTATCTGGCTAATGTGGACCAGTAAAAACATTTGGATGCATCCTGGACCACTTCTGGGGCTGGATTACAAAAGATATCAGGCCATCAATACAAAAATCAAGTGAACTATTTGGTGAGCAAGTGCCCTTGAACCTCCAAGTGGGGGAAACCCTTTACGTCTGAGACTAGATTCAGGTTTAACCCTAAAGATGATCAATCTATTAAAGCAGACCTATTGAAGCAAGTATTGATGGAATTGGACTGATCACTTTAAGCAACTGGACAACCTTCACTTGGAATACAATTATTTGATATCTGGTAAATAATGCTACAATAAGGAAAATTTGGGGATGAAACAAAAGCTATCCTTGAAGCAACTTTAGAAATAGTGAGATCCCACAACGAAGAGGCGAAATTATTCATTGAGCACTTAAGGACTATAGTCAACAGGAGACAGGGAATAATGAACAAGGAAATGAGAGGGTGGTAGATGATGTATGCCAACCAAAGCAGGGGCTGGAGGAAATCGGAGGAAAAAAATTAGGAGATCTAATTCTAATCCTGGAGCCAAGGAGAGTCTTAGGTATGCTAAGAGAAGATAAGGGGGGAGAACCAGCAAATTTAATTTAAAATAGCCTTGAGGATCTATTGGAGATAGACCAAATGCATAAAATGATCTCAGATGGTACAAGGGACGGCATAATTTTTAGAGAGATAGGAATAAGAATTGGGAAAAGACAAATAAGAGAAGAAATTACTTAGAAAGATAAAGAAAAAATATTAAGGTGGCTTTCAACGTTGAAAGCATGTATATACCTAACTTCTGGAATTGTAAGGGGACATATCTTATATATTAGAAAAGGGAATCAAACTGAAATAAAAGATCACCAATCAGGGTAAAGGCATAACACAGTGGTTCTTAACGTAAATCGAAACTAGAGATAAGAAAGAGGTAAAACAAATAGTACTTAATTAACATATATTAAATATGATATTGATCTAGACATGACAGGAAAATGTGGCGATAGAAATGGCTAAAGAATTATATAAAGAAAATCCATATAAATGCTTTAGATAACATTTATTATGTGTTAGGAACCTATTTAGTTATTATTGGTATAAAATACAGTGGTGCCTCGCATAACGAGTGCACAGTTTAACGACGAATCCGCATAGCGATCTAATTTTTTAGATCGCTAATGCGATTGCATTGCGATGTTTTAATGGGTAAAACATCGCATTGCGATGATCGGTAAGCGTTTCGCTTACCGATCTTCACATTGCGATGTTTTTTTAAACAGCATATCGGTGGTTCCAAAATGGCCGCCGGGTGCATAAAATGGCAGCCGGAAGTGTTTTCGCACCCTGCCCTCACTTACCGAGGGCACGAAAATGGCGGCGCTATGGAGGAACTTCGCTCAACGGTGAGTTTGGGAGCCATAGGAA